TGCTTCAGATGGCGTGTGTGTTAACCATGGCCAACAGGTGGCGCCGTGCAAGCTTACGTATATTTGTCTGTGTGGCATCAGAATCGGGAGACCAGGGCTGGCTGGCCAATGAGGAGCAGTTTAGAGAGTTGCTTGGAATGCTGAGGATTCGTGCCACCATTAAGATTGTGGCGTGGGATAACGTGACACGCATGTTTAGAGGGCTAAATTCAGAGTCTCAAAAAGTGTCGGAGGATTTCCTGTTTCCTGAACGCTTTGCTGAGGGAACACAGCTCTACAGCAGCAGTCCGCTTCCTGTATTTGCCCCATCCTCCCTCCAGTTCTGAGCTGTCACAGCAGTACCTGACGCAGCTGGATACGCTGACGCGAGACCTGGGCCCAACTCTCTTGATTCACGGGGTCACACCGGTCACATGTACTGACCTCTGAGAAACAATAACCAAAACATGTTTGTGTGGAACATCTGAAATATTAGTGAGGGGAATACAAGTGTATTTGATTCCTACTATTCTCAAATGGCGGATGATTTTGAGGGCCATATATCATAAACTGGTGAATTATGTGCTCTTGGTGAAAATGTTATTTAAAAACAGATGGATGGAGTTTGTGTTATTGGTGAAAACTGCCGAATCATCGTGCGCAGTTATTTTTGTGTTCTCCATGCGCCTCTGTTCTCATTAACAGTAAGTTTAGAGTTGGTGGAAAGTGAGTGCTTGCATATCCTGTGATCCATGTTTATGTGTTGATGGAAAATGAAAAAATGTTTGACAAATTAGGATGGAAAGAGTTTCTTAAATGAGATGTGGTTACAGTTGCACTGTAATAGGGAAAAGTGAATCTGTTTACTCACTTTTTGTTTGCTTTTTGTTATTGTAATGCACTGTTGGAGAATTTTTTTAAATAATTTCTGCTTTTTCTTGATATAAAACAGACCCTTTGATCCCCTTGTGACCCAGTTACAGCTTGTGAGCCATTGAGTAGCCCTTGTGGGTTTGGGTCCTTGTTGGTGTCATGGCAGAACTGCTGCTCTCAGCTTTCCAATTAGAGCACTTGAATTGAATTTGTGCATTCATAGTTTATTTACTGTCAATTACTGGGCATTTATATAGACATGTTATTTATTAGGGGTTCAAGCACGCAGTGCTGAAACCCTATTGTAATTGTTAGGATTATTATTCTTCCCTAAAACTGAACGGGCAGAACAAACCGTAAGGCCTAGAGAGCTGAAACTTGGTCAAAAGGTAGTAGTCATGCTCGCTACTCAGGTGCAAAGAGCCGGCCCAATCGGCCAATAGGGGGTGCTACAGCGATCAAAAACGCGTAAGGGCTAATAACTCCTAAACCACTTGTCATATACTCCAAAATGTTACATTTTTGGAATCCGTCGGTCAAGCCGAATAAAAAATGGTCATTCTGATTTTGAGTCTAGGCGGTCTCGTTTTTCGGCAAATTTGAGTTATGTCTAAAACCTAGTGATAGTGAATATCAATAATTATCAAAAAAAAGTTGAAATTTCGACTCACTGTTGCAATGGGGCGCCAAAACGTTCAAAAGTCGAGGACCAATTTTACGAAAAAAGCTATAACTCTTGAACGAAGTGAGAAATCTTCACCAAACTCGCTACGCATGTGTAAGAGCTAAAACTTTGGTCAAATCAAAAAAAATTGCGTAGCTCTGCCTCTTGGTGGCGCTATAATTTTGAAAAACTATTACTAGGAAACCGTTTGTCTGATCGACTTTAAATTTGGTTTGCAGTGTCAATGACTATAAGTGGCACAAGTGTCTATGAGGACATTCGTGTTTCTCAAAAAACATGGCCGCCATTGGCCAAAATCTTTTAAGCACCTTTTTGACAGGGTTAACAAGCTTGCAAAGTTTCATGAATATCGGACCATAGGTGGTGCTATAACAGTAAACAAAGTCTCCAAAAACACAATATTACAATTATAACAGAATTAAATTGTACACAAAAAGTTTTATTCATTTATTCACACATACACTAAATCTTCATATCATAAGATAGATCTCCTCATGCTGAACAACTTTGCCAAACAAGGTTAACGGAGGTCGATCGGGACGAAACTCAGTGGGCATGTTCGACTTATGGCCCTAAAGGTCTGTAAGAATTTTGAAAGAAATCGGCCACTAGTTGGCGCTAAAGAGTTTTATGGCTCTGTAATCACGTGGTGTTTCAGTCATCCCCACAATATTCACTTGATTTTCACTTGGTGAAAACGTGTCGGATGACTCTTAACAAGCATGCAAACTTTCATGGAGATGGAACCGTAGGTGGCGCTATAATAGTTGAAAAGGCCTCAAAAATACAATATTTGTATAGAAAATGACCTCAAATTACAGAACATGTACATATATTCATAAAAACACCTGCTCTTCATATCATATGATAGATCTCCTCATTTTGAACAACTTTGCCTCTGGGACCAATGCTGTCAATCAAACTGGTCATTAAATATTCAAGATTATTTAAAAAAAACTACTTTTGCGAACTAGTCCTAGGTTTTTCGCTCAATCTCGATCAAACCACTGCAGTAATATTCACTGGACTCTCTAGATCAATAATTATCAAAAAAAAATTGAATTTTGTCCTTTGGTTAGCTATAATGGGGTCATTTTAAAAGGGGCGTGGTCAAATATTCCTCAAAGCCTATAAAACCTAAACGAAAACTCAAAATTTTACGAAACGTGGTGAAAACATGTGTCAGATCACTCTTAACAAGCATGCAAAGTCTCATGGAGATCGGACCATAAGTGGCGCAATAATAGTTAAAAAGGTTTCAAAAACACAAGATTTCAATGGAAAATGGCTTCAAATTGCTAAAAAATGATCATATATTTACACAAACACTAGATCTTCATATCATATGATAGATCTCCTCATTCTGAAGAACTTTACCTCTGGGACCAATGCTGTCAATCAAACTGTTCATTAAATATTTAAGTTATTTCAAAAACCTACTTTTGTGAACTGGTCCTCGGTTTTTAACTCAAAATCAATCAAATCAGTGCAGTACTATTCTGTAGACTCTCTAGGTCAATAATAAGATTTCATGGATTCAAGATATTATAAAATCACTGTTAAACCATTTAAAATCACATTTACTAATAGCTTACCATATTGTTCATACAGACATATTAATTTTTACAATTATGCCAGATTATGATTACAGTGAAACCTGAAAATGACATATAAACTCCTAAAAAGAGAAGACTTTCAATAAGTATTGTGTCACCTATCATTTATGTCAAATATCTGTATCTGCAACAAAATGTGTGTGCATGTATGTATGTGTGTGTGTCTCTGTATGTTTAAGTATGCTTATTGAGTATTAATAAACTAGTTTAATCATTTCATTTCAGTCTGTCTCTCTCTCTCTGTGTGTGTGTGTGTGTGTGTCTGTGAGCCTATTCTCCATTTTGGATGTGTTTTACTGTCAGCCATACGTCCAGGTTGGTCTAAACCCTAAAACATACCACCTTAAATGCCTTTATGTGCTTGAACTCCGGTCATTGCTGCTTGCAGCTATATTTATTATTACATTTGTGTGTGTGTGCGTATGAAAAAGTTTTCTTGTGCGCCTGTGTTCATTAGTAATTCTGGATTTCATATTGTGGGCCTCAAGAAATTCCCCCGACCATTTGCATTGCCTTTTATTACATCCTGTTGATTTTTTGTGTGTCTTGTCATTTTTACAGTTCAAAGGCTCTTTGTGCTTATGATCATGCTGTCTGGGTTGAAGCGGAGCAGGGAGCTCATGAACAGCGTCTGATTGGTCAGGGCTAAAGATGATGTTTGGGTTGAGACTGTGCTTGTCTTTGTCAACTGAAAAGGGACACTGGCTAAAATAATACTTGAATATTTTGCACATTTGCGTGTGTGTGTTAACTTAAGCATTAACAAAAACACAATGCCAAAGTCCAAGAATGTCAGGCCTTTATCATATCTGTAATGATAAGAGACTTATACTAAATAATAGATGTGTACAAGTAATTCCATTCTGTACATTTATTATATATATAAAAAAATGTTTTTAACAGTGCTTTCAGTATGCAAAAATCACTTTACACAATCCAGCTTCCATATAATCTGAGATCAGAAATTATTAAGGTGCATTATTAGCAATTTAGCGCAACAGGAAGTTCAGTTAGGCTGTACTGCGGTTCCCCAGCACTATATACAATAGTTCAATCATATGACTGAATGTAGAGTCTGTAACCAGAAGACTGTCATTAAACAAAATATTTCCGTCTTCTTTTTTTTCTTCATTGCCTCTTTCTTTATGCTAATTATAATGCTGTTCCTTCAGTCTAGACTGAGTTTTCATGTCACATTATTGAAAAGCAATAAATACATGATGTATGTAAAAGTCATAGCCAATAGTATAAACTAGTGATTATGAAGTAGTTAATGTTCTTCAGTGCTATCCTATGGATATTTTTCACATTTCTTACTTGGACTTGGAATGCAGAAAAAAAAAAAAACAACAGCAGGATAAATAGAACAGCTTGGCGTAGGGAGGTAAAATCTACTGTCACTCCGTATTTGAAACTGCATGAAAGGCCCATCATATGATCATTCACTGAAACATTCATATGATGTGGTTAATTATTGCCAACACAACTAGACCTTTTAAGCATCACAATTGGCATATCGCATTTCTAAACAAATGCTGATTCATTCAACTCATAAAACAAAGGGAAAAATTACGCCCTTGTAACTAAAAAGATATCCACCATAAAAGGAATCTGCACTCCTTTCAACATCTTGCTGTCTTTTGAAAATTCAATGTTAGCATTAATCATTAATTATGAAACTTTTGAACAGCAGTGTAAATATACATAAGATTAAATAATATGCAGTTAAGGGAGGGAAGGTTATATGTACCCTTTCTCAATTTACCCTGCTGTAAATGTCATCGAACTGAACCGTGAAAAGGGTCCATAGGTCAACAACAGCAGGATAAATAGAACAGCTTGGCGTAGGGAGGTAAAATCTACTGTCACTCCGTATTTGAAACTGCATGAAAGGCCCGTCATATGATCATTCACTGAAACATTCATATGATGTGGTTAATTATTGCCAACACAACTAGACCTTTTAAGCATCACAATTGGCATATCGCATTTCTAAACAAATGCTGATTCATTCAACTCATAAAACAAAGGGAAAAATTACGCCCTTGTAACTAAAAAGATATCCACCATAAAAGGAATCTGCACTCCTTTCAACATCTTGCTGTCTTTTGAAAATTCAATGTTAGCATTAATCATTAATTATGAAACTTTTGAACAGCAGTGTAAATATACATAAGATTAAATAATATGCAGTTAAGGGAGGGAAGGTTATATGTACCCTTTCTCAATTTACCCTGCTGTAAATGTCATCGAACTGAACCGTGAAAAGGGTCCATAGGTTCAGACTCCTGATTCTGAAGCAAATACAAAATGTTAATTTTATATAGACCATAGATCTGCCAACTTACCATAAAAATGTAAATGTCACTATCTTAATAATGCATCTGTTTTCCTGTCACTGCAGTAAAAACTGTTTTTGTGTTTAGTTCTTACTGTTGATGCCATTATACGCATATTTGTGTATCTGTGTGATTTTTATGTTCATCTCTGTGGTCCACTGATTTGTGTCAGTCCTATTTGTTTTTTGTCTCTGCCATCCTCTCCTTTAATTGGAGTTCAGTGCTACGAGCAAATGTTGCCATGCGTTGCACACAAAAGGACGAGAGACGCAGCCAGCCCGGGAAAAAAATGGACAGTGCATAGTGCTGAAACCACAAAGGATGGTAAGTAATCAATCCATAACATATTCATACTTATAAATTATTAAAATAAAATAAAAATGTATAGGACATTACAACATGAACCCTGTATGTTTATATAGTACAAACTGTTGAGATATGTATTAAGAAAAGGGTAAACATGGTTATAAATCTGCTATCCCACATTATACAAACTGATTGTGAGTGGTGTTTACCTGCAGTGCATGAGTTAAACATCCGCTTGTGTATGTTGTGTAACCCACAGTGTTCAGAGCATCTCTAGCAAATGAAGCAGCACTTTTCACCAGTGGATTCACAGGGATATTATGAGTCATATTAGTGGAGACTATAAACGGGACCACACACTGGACAAAGGCAGAGAAACAACATCAAGGTTTGGCAAAAAAAAAAAAGTGCAAGATGTTTACTAGTACTGGACTTACTTGAACCGTGATTCCTTTTGACCTGTATTCTGCATGCAGACAGCGAGAGAAATATGTTACAAATATCTAGGTGTAAGAGAAGAGGAAGACACACTTGACTTTAGTTGTTATTTTTGTGTGTTATTCTGTAAGGCTGCATGAAATTTGTTTTGTGTGTAACAAAGATATGTACCTTGGTGGCAGAATACACCGACAGCATTGGCTGGGGCTGAGATGCCGCTTCTGATGATATGTTTATAATGAGGCCTTTCCCCCTGAGAGCAAACACAAGCCCTCAGTTAAAGCATAAACACAGTCTTCATAATAAACAGATATGATCAGAGCCGGCTGTGTGTTTACCTTTCAAGCATGCCTGGCAAAACGAGTCTGCACATCTACAAAACAACAACATTGTCATCAACATCCCTATTGTCGTCTCCACCAAATTCTTATTGTCATTAGAATCACAGATCAATGTGCCACAGTAATATTGATTAACATTACAGTTTAAAATGTGTTTTTATATTTTCAGAAATGATTCTAATATGCTGATTTGGTGCTTGAGAAATATTTCTTATTATCAATGTTGAAAACAGTTGTGCTGCTTAATATTTTTTGTGGAAACCATGATACGCTACCATTCAAAAATGTATTTAGTTTTAAAATGAATAGAAACTAAGCTGTTTTCAACATTGATAATGATATGCACCATTAATAATTGAGCACCAAATAAGTATATTAAAATGATATCTAAAGGATCATGTGACACTGAAGAATGGAGTAATGGCTGCTGAAAATTCAGCTTTACCATCACCAGAGGTAATGAACAAATAGAAAACAATTATTTTAAATCGTAATACAATTTCACAATCAAATAAATGCAGCCTTGGCATAAGAAACATACAAAAAAACATATTTTGAAATTTTGACTGGTAGTGTATGTATGTATTTTTATATGTATGTAGTTTATAAATTACTGGATCATCTATAACATATAATCTGTATCCATATTCATCTACAGGGGCTGGACAACATAATGTGAACATCATTACAGGGGTTAATATTGTGTGTGTAGGCTGCAGTAAAAAACAAACAAACGTTGCAATGATCTTTTATTTATCTTTCCATTGTCTATATTCGCTAGGTTGTATATCAGTATAAGTTGTGCTCAGCAGTGTTTAGTAAGCCATGGGTCAAATCGATGACTTGTTAGACTTACAAAAAAGACAAATCACGGGAACCTGTTCAGCAGGAACGTCTGTTAATGGCCCAGTTGTTTGGTGTCTTTATGATTACGATTGCCATCAGTAAAGCATGGCAAGACTTCATCAGCGTGATTGAATGATAGGAACTGTCGAGTACTAAGAAATATTGTGTCCAAACAATACAGAACTACTACTGCAAAGTGACAGCAAACTTCAGCTTTCACCTTGTACACTCTTTCCACAAAAAAACCCAACCACAGGACACTTCACAAAGCTAACATACATGAAGGAGCTGTAATTGCTAAAACTTTCATCATGAACGCCAATGCTAAAATGCGAGCAATATGATGAGAAAACCATACAATATGATCAGAAAACCTCGGCGAATGGAGCTCCAAGATGACCTTCAACATATGCCCTGGTCTTTTCAATCACCTGACTTTAAAGGGGTCCTATTATGCGTTTTCACGTAGTTAGTCTGTAATGTTGCTGTTTGAGCATAAAAAAGATCTGCAAATTTACAAAGCTCAAAGTCCACTTCAAAAGGAGATATTTTATTGAACAGAAATCACTTTTCAAAAACTACAACGAACGACTCGTTTGGACTACAACGCATATTTTCCGGGATTTGTGATATCACAAATACCGACGAATGGGACGAGACCTGGTTGAGCTGCACTAGAGAAGGCAACGAGTGTTATCACTATGTCGAAAACACGCTAGTTTTCCCAAGGCAGACGAACTTAGAGTGGTTACAATCATCCGGGTTTAAATCGCGCTCGCATTGATTTGATTTTGACACAATATTTACACTGAAGCTTGCAGGCGGCTGTGGTAAGGGGCATGACGTTTCCCGACCAGGCGCCGAGTGGTGCCAATCACAACACACACTGGCCCAGCTAACCAATCACTGCACATTTGGTATTTCAGAAGGCGGGGCTTCATTTGATACAGGAACTATTCGAGCCGTTCATGCCAGACTGGGGAGAGAGGTGTTGTAATAATGTAAAATATATGAAAAATAATGTGTTTTTCGAACAACCTAGCATGAGAGCCTGTTCTAGTACATCCCCAAAACAAAATCAAGACTTTGTAAAAAAGCATAATAGGACCCCTTTAATATTATCAAATCCCTGTGGCCAATTTTGGAGAGAAGATTAAGAAGCCGATTCCCTCCTCCAACATTTCTGAAGCAATTGGCAGATGTTTATTTTTTAGACAACATTCAATTGGAGGCCATTCAAAGGTTATATGAATCTATTCAAAGAAGGTAGTAAGCTGTATTAAAGGCAAATTGTGGTGACACACTTTAACCCTTTCGCACGTGAGTTTAAAATATTCTAGCTGAGCCCCCAGCGTGAGTTTTTTGAAATATTGCTTATTTCCCAGGCATTCACATTATTTTTTCCAACCCCTTTATTGTTTTTTTTAACATATGCACACTAAGGACAAAAAATGGCACACATTTTGTAAAAGAGCCTATATATGGTATAAAAGGCCATGTGTAAACCGGTTCACATACAGATAGTCTTACCTGAGTGACGGATAGTGTGTTACAGTTTATCACCTGTGTGATTCTCTGGAGACAGAAAAAAGTACTTAATGTAATAGACACTTTCATACAATGGATTCAGATTACAATAGAGTAGAAAGTCAAGCTGTGTGGTGTAGAAAAGCTGAGTCAGACCTGGTCTGGATCAGGAACATCCAGAAAATTTGCCAGAACCCCTATATAGTTCATACCTACATTGTTCACTACAGAGAAAACAGAATAAATTAACAATAGATATAAATAAATGCAGACTGAATTATCCTGTACAGTGTATTGAGTGTGTTTTATTATACTAACTGTTGATAGCATAGACCTTCTGATCTACTACAAGTAGAAAATAAGCAGGGGAAAACAGCAGCTGTGATTTGACTTGAAATAATGAGATAGAGGGAGGGCAAATACTCTTACTCCTAATCACCAGTAATGATGATGATGATGCAAGAGGGGGGAATTACCAGATATACAGAAAATGAGTAGCTGGCATTTAATAAAAATGTTCAATTTCAATTGTGCAGCACTTTTCACAATACACACTTCAAAGCAGCTTTGAAGTCCACTTGTAGTGCCTTGTAGTCCACTTACATTACTGAAGTGTAGTCATTTGTATACTGTAGAAGCAGGTACAGTAGCAATAAAAAAAAGGATTTAAAAAATGGTCATGTAAAACTAAATTATGATGGTTTTTGGTTCCAGAAATGAAAAACATTTATTCTATGGCCCCATAAGGCTTACCAAAATTAATTTCATTCTTTTGCACCATCTTCACTGTTTTACACATCATTGTTGATCTTTATCTTACCCAGAATTCCGATCTCTAGGCCCTCTAGCTGTTGTGTGATAGCAGAGTAGATGGAATGGCCCTCTGTGAAGTCTGTCTGAATCAGATGTGTCTGGCGCTTGTACCGAGATTCTGAAACAAACACATTCAGATTTATACTTTTTGCTCTGCCTAAACGTATGAAAATAAAGCTGTTTTCCCACATTAAACTAGTCTGGCTAGAAGAACACAGACTAGAGATAGATCACAAATGAGCTGAATATTAGGCCATTCTTTGTGCACCATATTTGCAAATATGGTTCATGACATTTATTCAATTTTCCTTTCTCTTTGAAGTGTTACAAGCTCTTGGTGCATAAAGAAGATCTGTAAAGATGCAAAGACTAAAGTCTCAAATCCAAAGAGATATTCTTTATAAAAGTTAAGAGTCAGCCACGCCTACCTAAAACGGCTCGTTCTAACACGCCCCCACATATCTACGTCACTATGTGGAAATATTAGCATAATGCCACCCAAATGTGTGATTCTGTGCGAAAACAAAAGCACTTTATTTGGCCTTCCGGAAGTAGAGGCAATTAGGAGTCATTGGTTAAGATTTATTTACAACAGAACAGCACAACCCAGATGTTCGAATTTGTGCAACGGATTTTATGGACGACCGTTTTTTGAACCTAAAAGAGTACAAGGCTGGCTGTGCACAAAGGCTATTTCTAAAAAAACAAAAACAAAAAGGTCAATTCAGACTTTGCTATGACAATCTGGCGCTTCTGAATCAGCGACTGTAAGGCGGGGCATAGAGGACCTACAATAATGTACAGTATTTGAAAGATAATGTGTTTTTTGAACATTAAAGCATGTCAACATATTCTGTTACACAAAATAATGATCTTTAAAATAGCATCATATGACCCCTTTAAGAAAATGTGGTTGAGGTCTTGCGTACAAACAGATTTGTCACTGTTCTGATCACTTTGAGAAGCTACATTTTTCATCTTGACTTCTACATTGTAACTCACCTATTTCCTTGGCGACACTGCGCAGCTTGTCGTCCGAGCGACTGATCAGAACAATGTCTAATCCTCGTTTGGCAAGCTAAGACACAAATACATCCTCAAAGATTAATGTGTATGTATATAGAGGAAATAGGAAGAATAGTAATTATTGCCATGCATTTCAACAGATTTTTATCCAGGGAATGAAAGTCACTGAGTCCAATATTGTTTTGGACCCCATTAACTTTCATTGTGTAGACAATAACAGTTCCAATAACAGTGTTAATAACTTGTGGAAGTCAATCACAGGAGTCCCTCTTATTCTCTGTTAGATATGCAGGAGCGCAAACACATTGTAAACAGACATACTTACTCCTTCACTGAGGACAAGAACACACTGTGGCGGCCAAGAGAGGCCCGGATTTTAATCTGATAACATACCACATCCATGCAGATTTTGGAAAATGGAAATTACTAGTGCATCTGGATCCTTCAGACTAGTTGATTATGGCAATTTGCCTATATTGTCAAATGCTGCATTTTAATGACAACTATAGCGCATACTTGACATTTCTTGACTTAAAGCGAAGGCTAAAGCAATTTTAGGACACCAAAATCAGTAAAATATTGCATGTTGTAGCTTAGAGGAAATATGCAACTTACTCGGATAAAAAAACTACAAAGATCTGCAGTGAAATTTTTTTTGTATCAAAACGGATGCTATTAAACTCCCACATAATTAATGTTTTCAAAAAAGAGAGTTATTTACTGACCTCTTCAGCATATGCACGACCAATCCCTGATGTTGCTCCAGTTACAACTGTGAGAGACAGGAAGGTTTAGTGAAATATCTCATCCTTCCTGTTCTATTGTCAGTTATCATTTGATCACTCAGCTTCAACCACTATAATTGTTTGTGTCTGATTTTTAAGACTGTTTTGATTATGTCTGGAATCTGCACATTTTAAGTAAATAAGAAAAAGGCAGCAATGACGAGTTTCTGGCTATGCAGAATTGCAGATGCCCTGAGCAGAATGAGTACTGTACAACCAATGCAAAAGAACACCCCTGCAGAAAAAACAGCAAAGCAGGTCACAAGCACATGTTGTGTTTTGGACACTAGATGATGGTGTGACGCCCCCCATGCTATGTAACCACAAACATCTGTCTTGCTCCAGCAAGACCCTGCTGCATCACTTGCCGGCCTGCTGGACTCCCTGTGGTCCACCAGCTAATTAGCAGGATTCTGCTGGTTAAAGCATGGTCCACCAGGTGGGCCAGCAGAAAACCAATGCTGAGCGGTACAAACTGGCGCAAATGGTAATAGTTTTGTCAGCAAGATATTATAGTTTTGCATTTTTAAATTAGTTTTATTTTAATATCGTTTTCAAATGTGCTATAAAATTCAGTCGAGTTTTTATTAGTTTCATTCATATTTGTGTTAGTTTTAGTTTAGTTTTTATTTTGTGAACGCATTTTTATTTCGTTTATAGTTTCAGTTTTAGTTTCACTTTTAATTAAAGTTTAGCAGAATTAACAGATCACTTCCAGAGCGCAGGCCAAAGAAAGACGTAGGCATAATTTAACCTTAGTGAGGCAAACATATAGCGACACAAAATTAACGCATGCTGAGATTGATTAGATAGTAAAAGTAGCCTATACATATACGCCAAAGAAAGCAGGCAAGCCTTTTTTACTAAATCAATCTAAACAAGTCGCGCTTAATGTCATAACCAATGATGTGTGTTGAGATATTTAGTATGAAAATAAATGTAGCCTGATTTGGTTATATTTCTTTTCTTATTTAACCATAATCATGATATTGTAACTGTGGTGTCTTGCTCACTTTTCCGTTAACAGCCGTGCATCAATCAAAACTGGGACTAATGAAATTCAATAATAACGGCAATCGCATTCGCCAAAGAAAGCAGGCAAGCCTTTTTTACTAAATTAATCTAAACAAGTCGCGCTTAATGTCATAACCAATGATGTGTGTTGAGATATTTAGTATGAAAATAAATGTAGCCTGATTTGGTTATATTTCTTTTCTTATTTAACCATAATCATGATATTGTAACTGTGGTGTCTTGCTCACTTTTCCGTTAACAGCCGTGCATCAATCAAAACTGGGACTAATGAAATTCAATAATAACGGCAATCGCATTTAACAGTAAAGGCTTATATTTGAATGTTCTTTCCATTTATAAAGAATTATAAGCGTGTTTATGATGTGATTTAGCCAATGCACATTTGTTCAAAAGCCTGGCAGCGTGATCAGATGCAAGGCAAAAGTTTTGTATTGTTTTCAGAAAGGAGCGTTCTCATCTTTTTTTCCCTGTTAATTATCATGTTGCACTGCATGTATTTTTCTTCAAAGCACCAACTTAGAATGCCTAATGTTGGTTTGATTGCTTGTGTTACATGATAAAATAAATAATCTTGTAATAGATTTAATGCGAGTGCGGTTCGGGTCGTGACTCGCGGTCTTCATGTCAAACGGTTCTGGTCTGGTACAGAATTAAATTAGTGCTGCTGTCAGATAATGGGACGGGTGTTCTGTTAAATACTGCTGGTGCACGTTTACCAAACAGGACCCGTGCAGCCAGGCTTTAAACTGCTTTGCGTCTCTCCGTCAGATAACCCCCTGTGCGTGATGCGCCATTACAGGTAGGCTATTTCCCTAAACCTCCACACAGCTCTTATATTTGTCCGCCAAGGTGTGAGAACGTAATGATTACGAAAACGATTATTTATTTTTGATAATTATTATTTTATTTCAGTTAGTTTTTCAATAACTGTTAGTTTCGTTTCGTTTTAGTTTTTCTAATATTTTGACGTTTTTATTTTATTTCAGTTTACGAAATTGTTTTTTCATCGATCGTTTTAGTTTTCGTTTTCGTTTACGAAAATAACCTTGGATATCAATCACTATCATCTAAGTCTAGATAAAAGAGACAAGTGACAAAACCTGCTACATTGACTTTATTCAAATAGAAATTCATGTTATGTTTCCTGGAAAGCTGTGTGTAGAGCAGTAGGCTACATCAGATCATTTTACATTTGCATGAGAAAAAAATACTATTTTAGACAGCTCATATAAAACAATATTTTACTACAATTGTTTATGATATAAGAACACCGAAGTGGCAGTTCTGATGTTCAAAGAAATATACAATTTAGTTCCGAAAAACTTATGAAATCATCTTGATCATAATTTTATGGCAAGCTGTTTTAACATGTATTTTTTTTTTAAAGTTGTGTTTTTAAGATACTAATAATTATTTTAAAATTACTAGTACAATGTTATAATGACTAGTATCTTTTTCACTCTTATAATTAACTATTCATTAGATATTAATACTTATTACAGTAGTGACTAGCATCTGTTCAACTGGTCACTAGTAGTTATTCTTAAAAAATAGTAAGACATCAAAATGTTATTAGTAACAATTAGAAAAGATTTGCATAAATGGATAGTTGTGTCTAATAAATTGAGAAATAAGTACTAGTGCCTGATGATTAGTTGCTAGTAAAACTATAGTGACTAGCCTACCAGCGGCAACTGGAATGGACACTAGTTGGAAGTAAATAGTTAACATATTGTAGATATAGGCCTAACTCACTTTTTAATTTATTACCAGTAACATTGGTATATTAACTTGTCACTGTTATCACAAATAATTTAATTAAAGGCATTAATAGCATGATCTAATAAATTGAGAAATAAGTACTAGTGCCTGATGATTAGTTGCTAGTAAAACTATAGTGACTAGCCTACCAGCGGCAACTGGAATGGACACTAGTTGGAAGTAAATAGTTAACATATTGTAGATATAGGCCTAACTCACTTTTTTAATTTATTACCAGTAACATTGGTATATTAACTTGTCACTGTTATCACAAATAATTTAATTAAAGGCATTAATAGCATGATAATACATTTAGATGGTTAGTTAAAGGGAATATATGCTACAACAGTTTGCCATACCATTCATAAGAAGCAGCAAATGATTAACTGGCACTAGTATTATTAAACGTGATCGGTTTATTTCTGCTCCTAATGCATCTGCACTAAACAGCAGATAATTTTATAATTACATAATAATCAGAAAGGAGCCCACTCTTTGAAGAAAACCTTACCAGCCCATTGGCCATATGTCCTCAGGTCCGTTTGCCAGATCTCAGAGAGCACGTACACTTTGAATCCATGCCAACACTGCCAAGACCACCTCAGCATGTAATACACAACCGTAATGGAACCGATGCTACACAACACCAATGAATACCAGCTCCACTCTGCAGTGTCTCCCATCTTACTTCTTTGCAACTACGCGTTTCTGTCACACTTATAATACAATGAGCTTCTTCTGGCATGCTCCAGAGCTGGGGAAAACCCCCACATACATTCACAGGCGTAATTATATGCATGCTCCTCCCATCGCCGAGGCCTGTCTGTCATTGGTCAGCAGTATAGAATAGACCGTCAGATCAGCCAAAGTGTAACTCCTCTTCGAAACAAACATTGTTCGTATTAACAGTGTTATATACTCTCCACACCTCTATGATTATGTCGATCCTACGTGTGATATTTGGGATATGTCTGTCATGTGGTCCGACCTGCCATTCACGTCAAAGTTTATCACTTACTAATGACATCCTGTTTGAACAATATATTACTGTACGGAACAGATACAAAGCCATGTAGCATCACAGACTGTAGCCTTACTCATAGATATTAAATCACAAACAAACGCTGTCATTTCCTGATCATTAGTAAACATTAACAAGTGTATACAGGAACAGCCCAGAGTTATGTAAGCTGTGCAGCACAGGAGTAGATGACAGTTTAATATTTAGAACATGCCGGTACAGCTTGTTCAAATCGTTCGTTTCTGTTTCTGTTTACAAACACAAGATGTCGATATCGACATTCTCAGCCTGGTCTTGTGCGCATGTTAGTTCTGAGATATTTTAAACAGTTACAATGAATAACAGTAGGCCTAGCTGTGTAGTTAAATACAGAAATCAATTCTTTAAAACACCCAAAAGAAAATAAAAACTTGATTGTCGCAAATTGTTTTTGAATACAAAGATAAAATGTGGGAGACTAGAAATAATCATTATCTTGGGAAAAGTGCAACGAAATATTAAAGTATAATGCAAGCATAAATACAATATGCAATGCATTTTTTTGTTTTGTAAAATAAATCACTGCTGTATATTTTTATCTTATTAAAAGTTATAATATTAAATATTTTTTAAGATGGGAGTATTAAAGTATTTGACTTTCATTTAAAAACATTGACCAAGTAAAAAGCTATAACTAACCTTTTTAAATGCAGCTCATGTCACATAAATAAGACCTCTGAATACCATTCAGCCCTATATATGACAGCTCTAAGCTGAACAGACAATAAACCTTGCACTAACTGTTGGTATCAGTTAAAGTGATCCCACCCTGTCATATAATCAGTGAGAAAGAAAGGTCATAAAGGGTTGTGCTTAAGATTAGTGAGTAAAGACAAAGTGAAAGTTACATACAACTGTGGTATTCCCCTTCATTCGAGTTGTGCTTACAGACAGGAACACAGCTTCCTGGTACAGACAGGAACACGGCTTCCTGGCACAGACAAGTGTTGAGTTTGGTGTGTTTATGATCTGCCGGTGAAGAAGGTATTTCTTTGCTATAATTATTATTATTATTATTATATTGGCCTTTTACTGACTGATTTGAAAACTGTACTCATGTTGTTCACCAGTGGCTTACTATTACATTACTTTAAGTGACCAGTAATTCATATTGTTCACAGGTTTCTCCGTCGATCTGTGGATGTGGAACAGCAGACTTTAAAACATGACCAGTCCAAAGGTAGAACTGTTATTTTCATTTTATTTTCATGAATTTGTAAAAACTACCCACATTATGACAGCGTACTATAGGAAAGAAAAGAGATCTATTAATTTAGAAGATTTTAGCATCTATTTAACATCTGTTTTTCCAAAAGAGGATACCGCAATATACTGCAACCTATTGTTAGTCAAGTTATGCTCTGATACAGTTCATTTTATACAACAGTTCAATAAGAAAATAACTTTTATATAATAACATTTATAATAACATTTATATAATAACATTTTAGACAGAACAATTGCAGAATATTGTGTTTTTTTTATAGTTCCAAACAATTATGACCAAATTAATCACTGAATCTCCTTCCAACACACAGTAGCACCATTAATAAGGATAGACTGAGTGAATGATTCAATGACTAACTTATAGTGACAAAAGTATTTTGTTGCCACCTACTGGCAATGATTTAACTTGTCTGTCTGACTTGCAGTGTCCTGGCTGTAAGCGATCTGATATCAGAAAGTTGGATGGACAGCGAGCAGTCTGCAGAACTTGTTCTAAAGCAAAGAGGTGCGTGTTTCAGTTCTGCTGGGCGTGTCAGAGGGAGTGGCCATGCAATGCGTCGACCACCAACTCCTGCATGCTGCCGAACTGTGCACTCCGTGCTGCCCTCCTCAGCGTCAAACAGATCAGTGACCCGCAAAGCTCAGTGAATGGATGCCCGTACTTCAGGGCCTGTCTGGGATGCCAGGCCCTATTAACACACAATGGTGAGGGCTGCCCTAACATTATTTGTCCCCACTGCGACGAGGAGTTCTGCTTTCGCTGCCTGCGTCCACAATGCTACGGCGATGAATATGATGATGATGATGATGATGATGATGATGATGATGATGAGGATCCTGACACAGAGCCCTGTGTGATAGTGGATAATGCTGAGATCATTAAACATGAGGGACTCTAGTGAATGAGTATAAACTATTAAAAATAACATGTATTGTCACAAGAGAATAAATATTTTTAAAAAAAACTGTTTGTTTTTGTCTTTTCTTTTAAGCCAGAGATAAAGAAATGAATATTTGGAACAAACTGTAAACGTGATGTTTTAATGCTTCATTCTCATTGTAAAAGCTACAAGTCAAGTCAAGTCACCTTTATTTATATAGCGCTTTATACAATACAGAGTGTGTCAAAGCAGCTTTACAGTGTTAAACAGGAAAAACGTGTGCTGCTAATGCGAGGACAATAGAAAACAGTCAGTTTATCAATTAAAGTCAGTTCAGTGTATTTCCAGTGTATTTAGTTTTTTTCGAGAATTGAAAAGTACCAGAGAACGTGATCTGTGATCAAGTGGTCAGAACCAGAATATAAGAGATGGTCCTCACTGCAGAACACAAGATCCAGGGGGCATGGTTGGATCCAACTCCTCCCACCTTACATATACCTAAACCTACCCGTCTCCACCCCCTGATCCCTAAACCCACCCATCTCCACCCCCTAATCCCTAAACCCACCCATCTCCACCCCCTGGATCTTGTGTTCTGCAGTGAGGGGCTACTGGAATATAAAGGGAAAAGGGAGGCCGAGCAAGCTGGCAAGCGTTTATTTTCCACTTTCATTCACTGACCAGCAGATGGCGCTATATAAACCTAAATCACCAATCATCTTGTAATCGCTGGCTAAATTAATCGCTAACAATTACTAGTGGTTTGCAAGGAAAAAACAGCTAACGAACGTTACATTCAGTATACCTTTTTCAGGTGAAAATTAATATTTTGGAAGACTGCCACTAGGGGTAGGCCTACCTTTGGTATCTTTTATTCTGTTGTTTTTCCGCCTATAAACAGAAAGTGAAAGACGCAGGACTTTTGGTATTCCCCTTCAATCTGTTCTCACGGGAAACGAATACTAACATTTTGTGTCTCTTTGCACAGAGAAGTGGATAGAATAGTGTGCTGGTGTCCAGTAAGTAGGCTACTATTTTACATTTTGTCCATTTTACTATCTTCATACATTCTGTAGTAATTGTCCCTTTAACTGCAGACAGAGTTAAGACTATTTGAATTCACACTTGTAGGAAGGAATGTTGTTTTCTTGTTGGCAGAGACATATTGATTCTAAAAATGCATATTATTATGTTCTTTAATTATGTATTAATGTTCTTGGTAAATTGTCATACTAATTCTGATTGGTTGATTAGGATATTGATCAAGGAACATGTTGTACTTGGTGAAATCACGCTCACCAGTGCGTAACTGGGAGGCACAGTGTCCTCAGTTTCCCTGTCAGCACAGTTCTTTGTCTTCCTTCCTTACTTTGTTTTCCTTACTAATCGGCTGACCCTCGTCGTCTGACCCTCGTCTACTCTCTCTCTCTCTCTCTCTCTCTCTCTCTCTCTCTCTCTCTCTCAGGTTTGTCCATCTGTGGAAGTTGTCCAGGAGGATTGAGCTATGGACGTTCCAAAGGTAGATTGATCGCGCGAGATTTTTGTGATCCATCAAGAGGTCAGACATTTCGCGCAAGCTATTTTCAGGCACTTGTTCTAACAGAATACTATAGGAGGGAATTAAGCTCTTAGACTTTATTTAGCACACCATGTCAAGGTGTCTGATTAACTGTGACGAAGTTTTCCACTGATAAGTGTCTAGAAGAGCCTTCCTGGGTTAAAACTTTTAGGATCATTGAGCTATTGCTCAGTCGTTTTGGTTAGCCTATATTTGAGATGTGAAATGTACCCCTATGGCTACTAGTATAAGATTATCCCTATTAAATTTGTTATGAAGCTATGACGCTGTTGTTGAATGAATAATTATGTAACTGTGTAAAGCTTAATGTGTGATGCTTACTGTACTTCAGTGCTGTACTTTTGAAACAAAATGTGTACTTTTACTCATTTATAACTGATTACATTGGGAAAATATCACACAGTTTTTTTATTTCCCAGAATATAATTTACGCCTTCAATTACATATTTTACTGGTCATTATGTGTATATTTAATGCTAAATGAAAAATGTTAAGACCTACCCTCTATAAAGGAATAACTCACTGTTAAACATGTTATTGTAAACATTATATATTTTATACTAGTAGGCCTATTGTTATTATACTAATAAATATTCCAGGTAAAGGTGCAGTAACTTTTACTTGGGGGGGGGGGGGGGGGGGGG